AAAAACTGTACATTTAACTGGGGAAATAAGCCACACACCTACACAGAGAGAGACATGCTTGTGGAGTAGAGTGCAATTACGAGCCAAAAGAATACCAGGTCTTCCAGTCCAAGGTAAAAACCCAAAATCCGTATGTATGCTGCAATGCTTGACACCTGAACTTCACAGCCATCTGTAGGGCAGTCCTTCATTTCCATTTTACAGATAATTATAAAAAGATGTTCACTATGCACTGGCCAAAAACACAGAAGCAATATCTGTTAGATAATCCTGTTTGACCTTCAACTTGCTCAAGGACACAACTCCCCACAGCGAATTTTGGCAGTGAAATGTTTTGATTTCGGATTCCTCTAAAGATGGCACCACTGCTACCCTTACCCTGACTCATTTAATTTCTTTTTACCCAAAAGAAAGTATCAAAGATGCAGAGAATCCAGAGTCAAAGATCACACAGCCTGGTTTCCTTCCAGTGTTTGAAAGGGAAGAGCCAATACACATAGGTTTAGAAAGATACTTTACAGTTCCACTTGGACTGCTTCCAGATTTGTTTCTTATTTCTCTTTCTTGGTCTATCCAACATATGGTATTTTTATGTAAAAAAAAAAAAATTACAGAAGTTCTGAGCACTCTCCAGAATTCATAAGCTGTCATCACCTGAAGTTACAGAGAAATTTCTACACCTTCATTGGGATAAAACTACAGAAGACAAATTGTTTTAATATTTCTAATGAGATACTTGAGAGGTCTGCATTTTTTTCTCCTGGTGTAATCCTTCATGAAATTCCTCATAAAGATAAAAAAATCCAAAGATAAAAAAACATCCTGAAATGATAATTTTAGTCTCCACAAATAGCATAAAAAACCAATGTCTCACTTTTGATGGATGAAGTCTTCACTTACTATAGAAACCTTGACAATAGCCAAGTAAGAACTAGAGGTAGAGACCTATCTCTGAATGACTATAATCAGAGTACTATGGGCTCCCTCAACAATCAGTTCTGTGTGCCAAAGTTGAAGGAATTCCACAAGCCTATCAATTGACACTTTATACATCAAATACAGAGGTCTGTAGTATTCCAATGAATCAGTGGAAATTAAGCAATTATGGTCATCCTAGAGTGAACACAGAAATGTGCACATTCTACTACTGAAGTTCAGTAGTGGCCCTGGCTTAAGAAGAAGCTAACCCCAGCTCAAAACTTAGCCTCTGAAGTGACTGTGTGGGACAGCCTGAGAATAATTAATTACATCAGCACTGTCTGCTAAACTCCACCCCACCAAATGGCAAGGGATGGAACCCAGAGACTGTTTCCTTGACCCATCCACAAACACAACCCACCTCATTCACACTGTCTCCTCAAAGCCCTTTGCCTAAAAAGGAAGATGCAAAGACCATCTGCAAGAAGATGATCACAAGAAAAACCAAAGATGGCTTCTGCACCCTGGGTAGCTCCAAATGAGACAAAGACAAAGCTCGGCTCAGAACCCAAACTACGTAAATGTGAGGAGGGCCTAAAGACTTTTTTCCGTGAAGGGTCAGATAATAATATTCTTCATTTTTCCACCCAAAGTCCTTAGTTTTGGAGGTTGGTGAGACGGCTCAGTGGGCCAAGCACTTACTGCATAAACCTGATGACCCTGGGTTCCATGTATGGTGGAGGAAGAAAACTGACTCCCAAAGGTTGTCCTGTGACTATCACAGATACTGAAGCACATGCAAGTGTGCACACACACAAACGTGCATGTCATATCCACACACAATAATTATATATCTTAATTATAGCTAATTAAGTAATATTTTATATTTGCGAATATATATATATACCCTTAGCTTTGAAGCTGTAGTGAAGCACCACAGACAGTACTCAAAGTAAGTAACAAATATGGCTATATTGTAACTCTCATGTACAAAGTTGGGCAGAAGCCTGCAGCTTCTCCACCTCTGAACTCACTGATCTTTTCTATAAACTTCAAGGGCAAAGCATGTAAATCTGTGCATGATATCGCCGTTCCTCAGCCCACAGTACTGCCTAGTGACTACAGGGAAGTGTGATGGCTCAAGAAGAGCTTCAGGAACACTAACAATGAGTAAAAGAGAAACAGAGTCACGAGCAGCCAAGTACAGTCCTTGATGACACTGCACTAAACAACTGACACAGGTCATCTCCCGTCACGTGCACAACACCCTAGGAAGAAACCATTGCTTATTCCAGCTTCCCAGAGGGAAAAACCGAGGCTCTGAACAATTAAAAGTCCCTCCAAAATCAGACTCGGTGCTACCAGGTTTTGACACAGGTCTATACATGTGTATAAGATTCATACACTACATACTATAGCCACACCCCTCCCCAAGGACAAATGGCAATAACCTAGGAGGAACTAAATGGATCACAGAATTAGAGGCGTGAGGTTATGATCTGATCCATTAAACTGATCTTTCAGACATGGCTAATTTACCTTTGCTAAATTTAAAAATGCCTTACAACAAAGAGCCTTACTTTTCTCAAGCTAGTATTTTAAGCAGCATTTATACCTCAAAGAATATCCCAGGAGTGAAAATCCCACAGACTGCTGTGGTTTTAAGCACCAGCCTAAAGTGTGGAAAGCTAACAGATGCCAAGTCCTACTGTTTCCTGCCCTTCCTGTGTCCATGGGCAAATACTGGGCAGCACCTCTGAGAATCCCCAAATCTTCTTGAGATGAGAACCAATCCTGAGCCGACTCCACAAAAGAACCACTCTGATATCCTTGGATAATGGTTTCAACATACATAGGATGTATATGGGGCGAACATTCTGACTCAGGTGAGTATAGACACAGTGAACAAGTGCAAAATTCTACAGTCTAAACTCTAAATCCTAAAGGCATTGTATAAAATCATTTTTGGGTGTTCACTACAAACAAACTATAATATCCTGAACAGACTTGGGCCCTACCCTGAGACACTTTAATGTGTATGTGTAAAAATCTAACACTTGAAAGTCTGCCAGACCCAAGAATGTCAGATGAGGTGCTCAGAGTACACCTGAACTCTGTCTCCTTCCTCTGTTCCTCTTTCTTTCATTACACCTAACAAGTGGCTTGAGAAACTCCTCCAAACTGGTCAGATCCATCAGAAGGTTCTTCATGGACTGTCTTACCTGAACTGGGGAGTAGGGCGTGAAGGGTCCAGGGTTGGAGGATTGGGAGCCAATTTACCAAAGCAAGACTTGAGGGACTATAGCCTGTGAACATTATCCAGCTGGCTACCTATTCTTGCACAGCCTGTGAAGGAAGACTGCATCTGAACATATTTAAAAGCTCAGTCTTTAAAAAAAAAAAATCCAAGAGAAAGTATTTCCTTGTTACAGAACTCAAATTCCAGGCCTCATAAACAAATCCATCACAACATGTCCAGGTTTCCAGTATCATCTGGGCCACTCTGGTGCTGCTCTGGCAGGGATGATTGCTACAGCAAAGATCCTTGTCTGCAAACAGTCTAGAATATTTATGACCTAGATCTTTCCAGATAAGTATAAGTGTGCCAGTCCCTAAACATGAACTATCAGCCTTCAGCTGAAGGCAGAACCCAAATCCAGACACATACACTCTGCTACACTGGAAGAGAGGACTGAGAACAGAGGTAAGGGAATCAACAATGGCCCCAATTCCACTCACCTCCCCCTGCCATACTTAGTAATGGGAAAAGTTTGGCTTCTTCATAGCTATTTGCAACAATGCCCTATAACTTCCAATTTCCTGCCTAACTGCATTATTACACTAAATTGATGAACTGTAAATAACAGGCCACTTTACGCCCCTTCATGACTGATCCCACGCCAGAGAGTACACAATGATAAATTTTCTTTGCATGTCTTGGCAAGAAGCTGTGTCTATAATTTTGACCTCCGTCTCCCAATTTCCTTCATTTATCAGAAAATGGTGAGAGAAGGCTCTAATTGGATAATTCAAATCACAAAGAAGGAGGTGGGGTGGAATTCTTCACCATCACTGTCTGTGAGCAGCCAAACAAAACAGAGCTGGCCACTCTCCCTGCAAGGGCAGGAGATTTATCAGCAGACAAAAGAATGCAAACCGCCAACAGATAAGAGGTAATTAAAGATCAGGTCTATAAATTTTACACTGACATAAATTTAACAAGATTTGCAGGTGGAGATTTGGGATTGAAAAGGAAGCCCTGACTCTGAGGAAAAATGCAGCAATTCCATATGCAACAACACTGCACAGTATGGATTTATTATGAAGAGTAATACTCAGGCCTCCAAGCTCTCTCAAACAAGGAATTTGAATTATTCAGTGCCACAGTAATTTGAAAGTGGCCTGTCTTCTTCAAGTACTCCTCCTTAATTTTCTATGATCCGTTTTCCATAAATTTTGAGTTTTAACATCTCTTTTAAAAATAACAATCCACCTAGTGTATTTTTCTAGTTAGCTAGTTAGTTAGTTAGTACATAATCCAGAAAGGTCTCTAAAGGCAAGGAAGTTATTTCTAATGTAATATGCACTAAAATTATAACAATGCATTCTCATTTCACTGTCTCAAAGGTGCAAAGTAAAACCGAGCTTGGTCGGAATGACAATTATGGTCAAGAATGACAATAAGGTCAACTGGTGAGACTTGAAAATACATTCAAATTTCTTGGGCGATGGCAGAGAGACCCCACTGGCTATCCAATGCTTTATGATGCTTAGCTGGCCTTCAGGGTTATCACATGTCCTAAAGCCAACACTGTCTCTCAAAGAGTTACAAGTCTGGTACAATGACACATTAACAAGAAAACTTCAAGGACAGACACATAGTGGTTGCCATGTGGAGTGTGGGTTTTCAAGATTGGGAAAGGAGGTAAAAACTTTCAGGAAAAGCAGGCTTAAATATTTCAACTTTTAACAATGCAAAGATTTCTTGAACAAACAAGAAACAGGACTCAGGAAAATCTTGATTCTGATTTTTTTTTTTTTTTAAACCTTTCCAGGGCACTAACCAACACAGCTGGACTCACCAGAGTACGCCCAATAGGGGTCTCCTGACGCCTTTCGCCTGCGGATCTGCACTGAGCTGCCCTGTCTGCTCTCCTGCAGGGTCCCCACGTAGCCTTCAGTCAATGCTGGAAGAGAGGGAGAAGACAGTGAAACAAACATCAGGACACAGGACAAAAAAATAAAAATAAAAAAATAAAAAAGGATATTCAGACTCACACGGCACGGTAATTTATAAAACCACAGGCCTTAGGGGCTGTCTAAATAGAACCTCCATTTTGTTTTGTTGTGAGGTAGCTTGTGCCTATAATCCCAATATTTGGCTGAGGCAGGAAAACTGTTTCCTGTCCTAGGCTAGCTGGGTTACAGAGTAAGAGCCTGTTTCAAAAGATGGGGGGGGGGGGGGGAGGGACCAGAGAGAAACTCAAAGCAAGGCATTACCACATTTACTGTTCATATTAATAACGTCCATGAGGTTTTATGTTTGGATTTAGGTTGCAGTTTGTTTGTTTTGAGATAGTATCACTCTGAAAGCCCAGGCTGACCTGCAACTGACCTTGTATATCAGGCTAGCCTCAAACTCACATCCTCCCCACTGTGATTACAGATGTAGGGCCCAGCCAAACCTTTACTAGTTACTTGATATACATTATGTTATTAGTCTACACAACATCAAGTATGGATACAAAAGTCTTAGTGATAAGAAATACACTTCAAGAAATGAAGAAACTTCTACTTGCCTAAGGTCAGATCATCTTTAGAACCAAAATGTGTGCTTTGGATTCTAAGTACCTGAATACATGTGTGTTCTGGGTGTAAAAAGCCACCTGGGCCCATGTGTTCTTCCTTGTTATCTGTCACATATGGGAGGAGGGGTGGGGCTTCAGGTTCAGGGACACTCACTAGGCTTCAGTGTAATAAAAAGCACATATGGGAACTAAGAGCCAAGCAGATGCATCAAAACCAGGGCCTTTGCACTGGAGCCTCCTCAGAGTGAACACCCATCTTCAGTCCACAAATATTCCCTGTGGTCCTGAGGACAGCAAAGCACAAAATCTTCCACTACCAATGCTCCATAGGAAATACTGCATAATGGACACCCACTTCTGAAAACTCAAAAGGAATCCAATCCACCCAACAAAAGCCAAAGGATTCTCTACTGCTGTGGAGAGCTTCCATCTGCCCACTCCAGCATTCAAAACCCATCCCTCCTATCCTTTCCATCTGATGCAAATTGCCTCTGGTGATGAGCCTACACCTGAACGCACAGATGTGTACAAAGACGAATATCACAGGTGCCAAGATCCCAAAACAATACACATCATGCACCTATATTAATATTCAAATGCACCCAAACAAAATCAAATCTGCTTTCAGGAAGAAAAGAAAATGGTTAGGAGAAACATACATTTGATTTGAAACGAGAATCGCAAAATGGGAACTACCATATATTTTCTCTTCAGATCAGTCAGCAATGAGGGTGCCCAGGTATTAGATGTGATGAGAATGTGTTGGCCAATGAAAAACACTTCAACTGCAAAGACAAGCTTAAGACTTACTCGAACCCAGGGCTGGAACACAGATGCTCCTAAGATGAGCCCTCAGAGGAAAAGTAAACACAAGAAATTCCAAATGCAAATGGAAAACCTGCTAGCACTTCTGTGTTCACTAGTCCTGAATGACAAAGTCAAAAAGAAAAAAAAAAATCTGTCATTGCTCACTGTAACCTGCAAGGAAAATGTTGCCACTCACCATCCATTCATCTGTAGATGAGCCACTATAGAGCATGGTTCTTACAGGAAAGCATCCCTCTCTGCTCACTCACGCTTTCCCCACTAAACCACACTGAACAATCAGTTCTTTTTTTGTGCATATTTTAAATATTTTAACGTGTATCTGTCTACTGTGTTTCCTATAATGCTTCAAAGCCCTTCCTCTTTGTATCAGGACAATGAGTATAGCAGCATCCTGACAATGTAAGCAGTAAATGCCATTCTCTTGGGGTTTGCAGTGTTATCTCTGTTTCCTTATCTGTAAAATATGAGCTGTAGAGGATATTCCAGAAGATAACAGGACTCTGTGAGCAGAGCATCTAACTCAGTTCCAAGCCCAACAGACCAAATGATACGGGAGTTTACTCTTAACTGGCCTCTTGCTGGATGCAGAAGAACTTGCAGGACGTTAACTGTTTAGGATGTAAGAAATTGGAGGACTGTCTCAGCTGCAGCCCACTAAGATGATTTTGTTCGTTTGTTTGCTTGTATTTGTTGAAAGAAAAGGTCTCATAGAACCCGGAGTGGCCTCAGTCTTCTGGTGCCCCTGACGTTATGTCCCAGTTTGGATTACAAGTGTGAAGTTCAACACACCCAGCGTATGAGGTAACAGAGAATAAACTCTGTGCACGGTAGGCAAGTGCTCTTCTCCCTGAGCTACATTCTCTGGCCCATGCCCAGTTGATTTCTAGAGCTTTCCCTCCTTTCTCTGTGAAGGATGTCTGAGCTCGCTGGTGGATGAATTCTCAGAAATTGTCCTGGGTGTTTAGTGGGTTCCCGGTCCAGTTTTTATTTTCTTCTGCTCCAGTAAACTTTACTAAATTTAAATTTGAACTGCTCTAGAGGCAATTTCCCTCAGCAGCGTAAGAATAGAGATTTGCTCAGTACATAGTCACTGTTTCAGTAGCAACCATAACCCGTTCTATCTATCAATCTATCGTGGAATGAACAGCTACCCAGGCACCTCTATCTCTGCCAACACGTGGGCTGGCCCTTTCTTTCCTTAAGCCATTGAATCACCAAACCCCAGCATCCATAAAAAACAAAAAAACAGAAACAAAACCAAAAACAAACAAAAAACCCTGTGATGAAATCAAGCACAAGGGTATCAGGCAAGCAGTCTTCTTTGCTTGTGGGCATACTAGACATAAGCTCCTGAAGATGTTGGGATATGATCCCCAAAACAAAGGGTTAGGTGAGGATCAAGTATGGGCTCAGCAGAAGCTAGAATAACAACAGAACCTGGAGCTAAGCCAGGAGGTAAACCATAGAGATCAATTCTTGTGATAGCGTTAAGTCCAGACCAGAGCCAAGTAGAAGCCAGCCTGACCTGAACCTGTAGACTTGGAGAGTTACAGTGAACTGACTAGAAGACAAAACTGTCTCCTGTCATTATGGAAACAGCCATGTAATGACAATGCTTTATACTTTAAACCAGAAGCTGCACATCAGCTACCCAGCATATCGGATATTTACATTACAACTCACAAGAGTAGTAAGATTACAGTCATGGAGTAGCAATGAAAGCAACTTTATAGTCGGGGGTCACCACAACATGAAAAACTGAATTCAAGGGGAGCAGCGTTAGGGAAGATTGAGAACCACTACTTTAATCAGTCACTTCAACTTCTGATCATCAATTTACGTCTCTACAAATGGCCTCTTGTGCTAAAAGAGGTAGGATTCTCCACACAAGGGTGAACTGGTTTTGTAAAATAGAATTCACAGATAAATGACATAAACTTTTCCAAATTCTGTGCCTTGAAATTCAAATTGAACTGTTTTGAAGTAGGATCCAAATAATAATTTTAAATGTCCTAGATTTTTGTTATATTTTGTTTGGTTTGGGGGGCAGAGTACAGCCAAAAGTCACCCGCTGCCTCCACTGCCTTAAACCACTGCTCATGTATCAGAAAGCACAAACACTGAAAACACACAGCAAGACAGAAGGACCTAGCAGGCTGGCCTTTGGGGAAGCAACTCCAAATGATCAGGGGAGAAAAGCACTCTATTACCAGGCACCACGCTCTTTCCAACAGAAGTAGCTAAATTACTTTTCCTTTTGATTGTGTCTGTCCGCTACATGAGATTCCCTATCCCGGCCCCAGATAACAACGATGGACTCATGTATTGATGAGTATTGATGTATTGCATAAACTAAAAGAAAATGATGTAAAGCCCTCACCTCAGTCATTCAATCAAGGCTTTTATATTCATTGAATACAAACATTAAAAATCAAGGTGATTTTTAAAATGTATTTTTTAAAACTATTTGAATAGCAGTCAAAATGTATACACTGTATATAAAGCAACTTAATATTTTATTGAAGGAACAGAGGTTTGCGAACGGTAACAATCTGTGGTTCCCAAGTAAAGCTACAGAGTCAGCACGCCAAATTCAATCAATTTTAATACTCCGTCCTCTCCAGAGCTCCAACAGCCAAGCAGCAGCATGGTACTGCTATAGTTTGGCTATGAATCATCCTATTGATTTTCAATATCTTCTGTGCAGAAAATTAAATTATGCAAATGCATGCCTTTACGGATCCTTACCTTAATGTGAAATTACATACTTGCTTATGTCAGCAACTTAATTACACAATTAAAAATGGAGCGTGCTTATGAAAATGTGTGGTTTCATTCTTCAGAACAGACAAAAAGTGTAAATCTGCCTATGGTTATCATTTGGATAACAGGAAGGAAGAGATGGTGCTATGTGAACATAAACTCCAGCAAGTTCTACAACCTAGCCTCTATGGCTTATGGATCTGGAGTTATCTGTCAGCTGAAAGCATATTCGAGCTTTTTGTTGTGTTATGCATAATCCACCAAATTGCTGGGCCAGTTGTACCCAACACTGAAAGGTCCAGTGGTATACATGGATATACATACATTCTGAAACAGGTCAACTCTAACGTCACTGTAAGCAACAAATACATATCCCCCATTGGCTAGCAAACCTGAGCAGGAAGAATTTCAAAGTCTAGCAGTCTTTGAGAGTCTTGAATGTATAATAATGGAATGGGTTTTAGAGGGACAAATCCAGAGCCTCCTAGTATCCCAGTCTACCGGTCCTGACAAGATGAAAGCGGAGCTTTAAAAACCAACAGTATTAACTAGCCAATGGTGCTCACATCTCACTCAGCAGGCGGAATCTTAAGTCAACTTGGTTGCTAGGCAGAGTGCTAAATGAGTGGCAGGCATTTTCATCGGGGAGTTCTCAAAAACTCCATCTCCTCTCAGAACTTCTACCGAGCCTACCTCATTTCCAGCCGAAAGTGAAAAAGATAAAAAGGTTTCAGGCCCAAAGGCCCAATCTCTTCCTATAAAAATATCCTCTGAGTTACCTATTACTG